ACCACAGGAAGGGGAGGGGGGCGGCCGGAGGACCGGGCCCGGGGCGTGACCCGAGAAAGAGGCCGCAGGGAGAGAGCGAGATGGCGGCAAGTACAGACCGCCTTCCTGCTGTCTTCCGCCCTCGGAGCCGGGAAGGGACGCGGCTGCCGGAAGCAGCAGGCCCCCGTGCAGGGAGCCTCCAGGCTCTGCAAGGTCTGCTCCGAAATGCATCGCGGAACCCCGGGCCTGCACGCTCAGGGGCCCAAGGCCCATTTTTTCCCGACGACAGGAGGTCCCAGGACTGAGAACAGGACCCTGGAGGGGACTGACTGATGCAACCAGGAGGGAGGAGGGTGGGTTTGGGTGTGGGGGAAGGAGGTGAGTTCTTTCTGAGCTGTCAGATTTAGCAGGGCTTGCCAGGGCTTGCCAGGGTCTGTTGGACCTACCACGGCTTCATTTGAGAGGCTCTTGGGTCCACTCCCCAGGGCGCCCAGGCCTAAGTTCCACACTCCAGAGTAGACCGTTATGGAGAACAGGCAACTGGTTAGGAGGAGGGCGGGTCAGGGGAGGGTAAGGGGTGGGAGGAGGAGTTGTTCCTCATGTTCCAGGCCCCCTAGGGAGAGCCCTAAAACTCATTCTATGACCACCGGTGCTTCTACAAGAGTCCATTAGGTTCTTAGCCCCAGGAGGAATCTCCAAAGTGGGATTCCTAAGAGAAGACCCTAAGAGAACTGTATATTAAGCTTTGGCAAGATGTTAAAAAAATAAAATAAAATGCTGGAAGTTGAAAATCTGGGCTTTTAGGTACAGACTTTGTTAATGCACATTAGCAGTAAAATGGGAGCCAATAAAGTGTTTGCTGCGCTTCCTTTATTCCTCACTCCTTGCTTTGTTTTTAAATATGGGGTCAAAACCCCCAAAGCATAAGTAAGCAGCTCATCTTCATGCCTTCCCCTTTCATCTACATATCACACTAAGCACTTACTACTCCTTAACCCTTAGAGAGGACAGGAAGTAAATTGTGGAGAGGGAGCATAGGCTAAAGGGAGAGATTCCCAAACATGTTACGTGAGTTAATGGAGGTATAAAGTCTCTAAGAACCACTAGAAAGAATTGGCTTACACATTCTGGAGAAATACATTTCCCAAATGTATTCTCCGATAAGATAATTTAGTTTTGAGGAAGCACTGACATGATCCCCAGGGAAACAGCAATCTTCTGGAGTCTGGCTGTGACTTTGAGGCCCACTTCTTCTGGAAGGGCAGAATAAAGCCTTGAAGAGAAGAAATAGGCATTTACAACAGGTTTGTATATTGTGACCTATAACATCTTTTATCATCTTGATCAATTTATATAATATAGTCTCTCCCCTTAAGGTCTGGTAAAACTGTCTGGGTCTGCTTTTTAAAAAAAAGTATTAGTTAATCCTCACGTGGGGACATGCTGAGAGAGAGAGAAGGAAACATCAAAGTGAGAGAGAAACATTGATTGGTTGCCTTTCGTAGGCGCCCCAACTGGGGATCAAGCCTGCAACCAGGTATGGGCCCTGACCAGGAATTGCTGGTTCAATTGGTGCATGGGAGGACACTCCAACCAGCTGAGCCACTCGGGCCAGGATTAAGGGTAGATATTTGACTGTCTTTTCAGTTTCTCCTATAGCTATATTTTATTCAGACAGTCTATTTTCCTTAAGTCAAATTTGATCATTTGTATTTTAAATTAAATATTTTGTTTATATTTGCAAATATATCAAAATATACAGTTTCAGTATTTTCTATATCTAATGCTGCTGTAATGTTTCTCTTTCAAGTACTCAATTAACTGAAGGATTAACCCTTTAATTTTCTTTTTAAAGAACCAGATTTTGGTTTAATTGTTTAATTCTATTTTAGGAGCATGGGAAAGTATGATCTATTCCATTGATTTCTGCTTCTTTCTTAATTCATTTATTCTACTTTCCTCAGGTTTTGTTGTTCCTTTATCAGCTTTTAAGTTAAAAGCTTAATTCATTACTTTTAATAGTTCTATTTTCTCATAATTATGTTTTAAAGCTATGATTTTCCTCTGATCTCTTCATATAGGTTTTAATATATAGTGCTTTATTTCTAAAAAGTATTTAATTTTATTTCGATATCTTCTTTAACTCATATGTTTCTCCCTGATAGTATAGGTCAAGGAGAACATTTTCAATTATTTCATTACATTATGATTAGTAAATATGTCTTGCATGGTTTCAGCTTTTTCAACACTTGTTGAACTTGCATTTTTCATTTCCCACATGGTCAGTTTCCACCAGTATTCCATGTGAATTTCAAAATAATGTATTTTTTTCTATTTTAAATATAGTTATGATTAATCTTGCTAATTACATTCTTCAAATCCTCTATATCCTCAACAATTTTAGTTGACTTAATCTAATAATCCCTGAGAAAGGTGTATTTATGTTAACAATCACCATTATGATTGATTAAAAGTCTTTGTATGTACAATTCATGTGAGTATATGCATGTATATGTCTAAGTTAAGTGCAGACAATTTATGATTACTCCTTACTGGATTGGTGCTTTGGGGAATTTGAAATATCCTTCTTCTAGTGCTTTGTATACATAATACATATATATTTTTTTGTATACTAAAACCTATGCTTTTCTAAGAACTTCTAGAGTAGTAATATGTATATTCTCTTTCTGAATATAATATAATGTAAATTTTACTAGTTTATTTCTCTTCATCCTCTCTGGGCAGAATCACTGGCTGGGCAGAATCTTTTCTTATTCTTGCTGGAGTATAACTCCAGAAATCCTTCCATAAGGGTTTTAAGTGCTATCTACACTTAGATGATAGTTTTATTGGATATAGAAATTTAGTTTCAAAATTATTTCCCCTAGATTTTAAAAAACATTGTTTCATTATCTCCTTATATACAGTGTCCCCAAATGAGAAGTCTGATATAAATTTGATTCCTATTTCTAAGAATTTTCTCTGGGTGTTTTCTCCTTAACTCTTGTGTTCTGAAAATTATCATTATATCTGTGGTGAAAGTTGTTTTAATTCATCCTTATATGCTCAGCATTTAATGGGACCTTGCAGTCTGAGGATACTGGTATATTGTCGTACTTGAACCTACCACCCTCAGATCAATTTGGTTTGGGCTATCAGTCAACAAACTTTCACTGAGAAGCTTGTTTATCTCTTCTCCCCCTCCCCCCTTTTTAATGTTTTTATTGATTTTTAGAGAGAGAGGAAAGTAGAGGGAGAGAGAGAAGAGAGAAACATCAAGGTGAGAGCAAAACATGGATCTGCTGCCTCCTGCACGAGCCCCAACCAGGGATGGAACCCGAAACCCGAAACAGGCAACCTATTAGTGCATGGGACAATGCCCAACAGGCACTCGGATAGCCTTTGTGGAAGATCCCAAGTACAAAAGACAAAACAAAAACACCTCAAAAAACCCACACCACAAACACTAGAAAATTTTAAAACAATGAAAAAGAAGGTAAGGAACAAGGCTGCACCGTCCACAAAGCTACACGATTATGAAATCATTGTGCAAGGAACAAAAGCTTAAGAGAAAAGGAAAAAGACTTCCTTGTGAAGTAGAATGGATGGGAAGACTTATATAGTAAGATGTATTTTTTTAATCCTCACCCAAGGATATGCTTTCCGAGAGAAACATCGATGGGTTGCCTACCATATGCACCCCCAACCAGAGGATCAAACCCTCAACCTTTTGGTGTACGGCGACACACCAACCAACGGAGCCACCTGGCCACGGCCAGAGTGAGATTTCAGTAAGATTTCAAAGAACTAGAGGTTGGCAGGGTTTGAATAGTCTAGAAAACTGAGAATACGATAACAGAAGAATGATATAACAAAAGCACAAAGAGAAATTTAGGATGTTATCAAGTATAACACTGGTGAAAATGAATAATTGAAGTTTAAGTTTTGGCCAGATGGTAGAAGACCTTTATAGTTTCAGGACAAGGAATTGGGGTTTAATCCTAATGGATAATTAATGATAGCTTTTGATTAGGTGAGCAAATTGACAATGCTGTAACATTTCAGAAGACCTTGAGAAACAATTTCCCTATTCCTCAAGGAGAAGGGAGCAGAGCCCCTGGACTTCAGAGTCCTAGCTGAGGAGACCAGATAGATTATTTGATAGCTTCACTGGGTAGAGGACAAACCAATAAAGCATGTGGCTTTATTGGGTAAAATGGGTTAAAGACGATTAGAAGCTAATTTCCTCACTTATTGAGTAAAATTTCCTACCATGAAATGTGCTGTATATGACTGCTTTCACTGGAGATTTTTTTTAATTTTAATTTTTATTTTTTAAAATATACTTCTTTATTGATTTCAGAGAGGAAGGGAGAAGGAGAGAGAGATAGAAACATCAATGATGAGAAAGAACCATTGATCGGCTGCCTCCTGCACACCCTCCACTGGGGAACAAGCCCGCAACCCAGGCATGTGCCCTTGACTGGAATCGAACCCGGGACCCTTCAGTCCGAAGGCCAACACTCTATCCACTGAGCCAAGCCGGCAGGGCTCACTGGAGATTTTAGATTCTCAGTGTGTTTCGGCCAAAGGTAAACTGAGTGGGGGGTGAAAGGATTAAGGGAAGACAGACAAGAGAATGAAAGCTGGGTCTCGGTGGGACACTGCTCCCTGATGAGGAGACAGCGCCAGCGCCCACAAGCCGTTTCTTTATTTTATAGCAGATGCCACGAGGCAAAGTAGGGGCGTGATCACGTTGATTACAGCATTCTTGTGAGTTTCAACCTCTCAACTATATGCACCTGAACTCTACCACAAGGCACATGGGGCTACGTGTTTGGACCATAGGTTCAAGCTTACAACCACAGCCGTTGGCTATAATTGTGCTGGGAGGGCCCTGCCCTCCAGCTGGGACTTGCACGTGGCAATGAGAAGACCCTGTCCTTTCATTAGTCCGAGGCTTGAACCTGGCCAAAACACTGTAGCCGCGCCCCA